ACATGTTTTACTCTTTTCGTAAGTGTAAAAAACTTTATATTTTTTTACTTCCTTTTAAATTAGTTCAAATCTCTTTAGATGGTCTCTTAAGATTTATATGAGAAGAAGATGTTCGTTTATTTTCCCAAATCTATAGCTAATTACCTCTACTTATTCAAAACTATTTTTCTGTTTATTGACTATCAAAAATGTTGTTTAAACTTTTGTCACAGATGTGACCAGTCGTTACCTGAAAAACAACAACTGTCAGTTGAACTCGTTAATTCATTGAGTACTTCAGAGCTGGGATCATGGATATGTTGTAACAAGGTTTGTTTCGGTTTTGGCGTTCGACTACTCCATATTAGTTTTTTTTAGGGATGCCACGTGTTGTTAAAAATGATTCAGTGTGGACCTGATCTTGTCAGGCAAAAGGTTAAAGAAGCTGTTAATATGAAACAACTGAAAGAATACACTTTCAAGGGTGCCACTCTTCTTGTCCAAGAACTTGGAAAAAGCTAAAGTTACTGCTTAGATGTCCACTGTTATATAGTTAACCCTTTATTGTGATTTTCGGAAGCCGTTGATCCCATTTCTGAGCTAGGTCCTTGAGTAATTTTGCCTTGAAGCTGTCAGGTTTGGTTGTCGTGCAAAAATCGAAATTTCGATGTACTTTGACTCTTTGAGATGTTAAAAGAGATAGGCGGGCGATGAGATTGCCTAGTGTTAACTTTCCTACTTGATTATTGTTGTTGTTGTTGTTACGACATGTTGTTATCGATTGTTTGTGTTGCCAATTTGAATGGATTGATAAATTTTGCTAAATTTGTAGCTGTTTGGTTGACCTTCATCTGTGCAGTTCTTTTTACCTAATTGGTAGGTAGAGAAATTTGAATATTGAGTTTTACTGCTTCATCTCAATCGCCTCCCTAGATGTGTCTTGTGATGTCATTTTTTCCCAAAGTAAAGCTAATTTTAACTCTTTAGCTGCTTGTGGTTCTCTGGAGTTTTTATTTTGAAAAATGGG